CAGTGCCACTCAGTGGGTTTGAACCAAACACCTGTAGGCTATCACCCCGCAGCCACGCTCACATCCACTAGGATGATGTCAAATGGACAGGCAATAACAAGTGTTGGGGAAAATCCAGAGGAACTGGAACTCTTGTGAACTGTTGGTGGGAATGGAAACCGGCACAATTACTCTGAAAAATGGTTTGATGGTTTCTTTAGAAGTTAAAAATAAAACTACTATACGAGTATGAGCCAGTCACTCGACATCGTTACCATGCTTCTGAAAGCAGCTGAGTGACTGAGCAGACACCAATCGGCCAAAGAATGCCTTTTACCAGGTTGAGCACCAAATGAATATACCTCCTCTTGACACAGAACATCGTAAGAGCTTTCGTCTTCGGATCCGGCTTGTCCTCCCTCTTCCCTTCTGCATTCTAAAAGCGGAGCTTCTGTTTAAGGAGAAAAGCATTTTTCTGTTATGTACCCATAAGGATTAAAATATACAAATACATATTATTCAGCAAACAGTTTCTCTAAAGAGTCCCTGTCTATGAGAGGTTTACACAATATGCTAACAGCTGACCTCCTGTACAGTAGCTGAATGCCCACTACATTGGTCTCTCTAAAATAGCCCTATGAAAAATCTTGAACACCTACTAAATGCTGGAAATCCTCGTAATTGATTTCAGATACATGCAATTTACTGACTTACATATCTCAATTCTAATCATTTACTAAGTACCAGCTGAACTGTACTTAGACATAGGCATTTGTTTTTAATCATTTTAGTAATCATTTTTAAGTTCTATTAGCATACAATTCAATAGTTCAAATTATATTCAAAAGAGCTGTGCAATCACCACCAGAATTGATTTTAAAACATTCTTTCGTGCAATCATTGTTGTTAGCTCCCCATTTCCCGGCAACTACCCTTGCCCTGTCCCTAGGCAATTGTTAATTCAGTTACTAACTATATAGTTTACCTATCCTAGATTTCACATGCAGAAAAACATACAAGACACAAAACTAGTAATGAAAACCTAGTAAAATTGAGAAAACGCTCAAGAGAAAAGCATAAAAAAATAAAAACTGGAACAAATTTAAAATGGGTCAAAAGGGATAACAAGCGATCAGGTGTTACATTTCGACCTGATTCTGCTATAATCAATTTTACAAAGCTCTGTCTGATAGCAAAGCTATTCACATCCCCAGAGGAGATTCACTGGATGTAGTAGATAAAAGCATTTCTAGGAGTAGCCGGTAAGCAAGCCACCTTTAGCTAGGCAGACTTGGGGAAATTCCCTTTCAGTATGCGGTAAATAGTGGGACTTCTTGGACACCAGGATTCTGACATAAACTAAATAAATTTGCCATAAATCTGGAGGAGGATGAGATCCAAAACACAAAGATGTGATCATAAAATCTGATTATTCATTTCTACAGGCTACTTTCTTGGAAATGTAAAAATAGCAATCCAGAAACACAAACAGTCCAGTATGCTGTATATTATCTGGTTTTGTGCATGTAATATACGCCTAAGAGATAAGAGGACTTAGAAAGTGCACGGTTTCAAAAACATGTTAACAGGGGCTGGTCATCTATGGGGAGGAGAAATGAGAAGGAAGGAGGTGGTGGTGGTGATGTTATTTTCGCATCCTCCCAAGTTGTCCCTTAGATAAATATGAATATTACATATTTGCACACACGTGTTTTAACCACACAATTTTTTACATCTACTGTACACCTAACCCAGCGCGCCTTATTAAGCCTAAATGAAGTTTCCAAATGATGTGACGTTACTGCTGTGCGCAGTATAATACCAGAACTCATGAGGAATACAATTTGAACTCAGCTCTCCTTTCTACCCTGAATTTCTTAAAATACTGAAAGGTTCAACAAGAGTCCGCTCTCGTTACCTGGACGACGGGAAAGACCCCGCCCACAGGAGTCCTTCCGACTCACCTCCGGGTCACGATCCCGCCTCCTCGAGAGCAGCGGCCGCTGGGGGGCGGAGCACATGGGAATCAAGCATAACGCCTAAGATGAACGCGAACGAAAGTCGTCTTCAGCTGAAGTGACTGAGTGCCATTAAACCCGCCTCCGGTCCTCCCAGTTCGAGGACCCACGTTCTTGGTCAATCGGGCGGACGCCCTCTTTCTCCGTCGCTCGGCCGCTTCCTCCCCAACGCGCCTGCGCACTGTTCCCCTGCGTGCGCCACTGACGCCGCGCCCTACTGAGGGCAAGCCCCGACGCGGCCCCGCCCCGCCCCAGACAACGGGAGGGAGAAAACTCCGCCCCTCCTCTCGCGTAATGCGCTCAGCCCCGCCCCCTCTTCCGGCTGGCTTCCCCCGGACACCGCCTCGCCCCTCTCTAATAGACTGGGACTCTCCCTGCCTGGAGTCCGCCCGAAGCTACCCCTCTTCCACAACCTTCGGATTGCCAGGCCTGGGTCCTGCCCCGCTGCCTGATCCCAGAAAAAGCAGGGCGGGTCCGTGGGCCCCAACAATATACTTGTGGGGTTTTTTTATTTTAAAGTAAGAGTTCCGAAAAGAGCTTTAAACCAAGCCTACTGCATCAAAGCGATTTGAATTTCGCAGTCCCTGCACTCACGAACACGCGCAGTCCAGGCACGATTAGTAACTGCAGCGCTTCAACTGCGGAAGTTGTGCCAGGTGTGCCCGGAACTCTGCCAGTGAGCCTGAGATCGGAATCCCCGGGCCCAGCTCCACCCACTGTGCCCTTCCTATAGGTTGCAGGAGAGGGCTGCTACCTATTACAGTCCCTTTTGTCCACGGTACCCTGGCTCTTCACTGTCCTCAAAACCAAAAACAAAGCAACAAGCCTCCTCTCTCACTGGTGGAGCTGCCCAAAGTGCTGACCTTGGGCTCAGCTGCCCAACTCATAACCACTCTGCATGAAAGGCTCCTTCGGTGCCCTTTTTCCTTTAAATGCAACCTCTGACAGTGAACGCAAAGGCCCTCTGGGAAAAACACCGCACAGAGTGGAGCCATGGATCCAGGGCAGGCTTCAGCTTCAAAACTCAAACTCACTTCCAGAGTCGGTTCCAACTCCTAGTGACCCTGTAGATGGAGTGGAACTGTCCCTGTGGGTGGCCTAGACTAAATCTGGGAATGGAAAGCCTCAACTTTCTCCCCATGGAATGGCTGGTGGACTCAAACTGCTGGCGTCAAAGTTTGACTGGGGCCCAAAGTCTAGCTGATCAAGAAAAGAGCCAATGGGGAAACAGGAATGTCACCCATCATTCGCCACAATTCTAATAAAGCCCCACGGAGGGTTACCAGAGAGAAACCTGCAGTCCTCCAAGGTGAAGAGAGAGCCACGAGGCATTTCACCAAATCAGAAAAGGAGTTCTTAGACCATATGATGAAAAGGCGCAGAGTTTAAATAAAACATTTAAGTAAGAAACTGGAGGGAGGTTTGTTGCAGGCTCAGCAAAGGGGTGCTGTGGTTGGAGGGGTCAACATCAAAGGGACTGGCGCATGTTTATTGGGAAATGCCAAAAGTACACCATTGTGAAATGTGTTCAAAACCTTATCTGAGTTCTTCCTGGAATCGAGGCAACCTCTTCGTGTGAAAACAACTGAAGTGGTTCAGACTGTCCAGACAACAGTGGCCTTTACCGTTCTCATCAGACGGTCACACACAGTAATGTTTCTGACAATCTGTGATTGTAGAGAACAGGATCCTTCAGCACTATGTCTTCATGTTAATTAGCTAACATCTTTTTTTTAATCATTTTATTAGCAGCCCATACAACTCATCACAATTCTTACATACATCAATTGTGTAAAGCACATTTGTACATTCATTACCCTCTTCATTCCCAAAACATTTGCTCTCCACTTAAGCCCCTGGCATCAGCTCCTCATTTTCCCCCTCCCTCCACGCTCCCCCCTCCCTCATGAACCCTTGATAATTT